CGTGAACGTAAAAATGCTCTTTATACCTTCTCTAGATAACAGTAATCATGCACTACCACCACCCCTCTAGCATAGGGCTATTATAATCAACATATGAGCAATCACGTAGAGTGAGAAACACTACACCATGAGCAAATACGTACTCACCGGCTGCATTCAATGTGTCCTCTTGGATTGCAAAGTCTTCTGCGCTAGGTGACACAGTACCGGGAAGAAAAAGAAGTGCAGTCGTCAGTCGAAAATTCTTGTCACCAGAGACAACACAGAACAAAATGAAGAACTAATAAGACTCTAGTGTCGCTTTTCCGCAGTTATAAAGCCGAGGGGCGCTTTACTGGGTAATTATAAAAAAACCTTTTTCTAAAATGTTTGCTTAGCAAAATGATTCTTAATACAGATTCATGTTTATTTGTTGTTTGCAGAATTCGGAATCTGATATATCTGTATTTTGAAGGTGCCTCCTCCCCTTCAGTGCTTTTCACAGCTGAAAGCAGTAGTTCAAGGTCACTGGTTGCCACATAAGGTTGTGTTTATGTGCAAAGAGTACTTAAAAAGTTCGCAACAACAAGGGAATGAAGAAAGGATGCTGTGTGATTGTGCTGTTCTCTAAAATTGCCTTACCTTGCCGAGAGTGTGTTGGCAAGCTGTTGCTAGAGTCAGAGTCTGAAAAAAGGAAACGTGCACCAGCCAATAGTTTTCCCCCCCACCTTAATGTATGATGATTGGCATTACGCAACACTGAATAGGCTCACTCACCAACACCATTTGTGTCTTGCAGTGTCGAGGAGTGCAAGACACCTGTTCACGTGCTATCGGCGCGGCCTCGACGATGACTGCATTAGCAAGCCCTCCGTGCTCTGTCCGAGAAGGAACTAAGGTTCCTCGAATGTTTTGGTGCGTGCAAGTAGTTATATTACCTTTACTTTTCTGTTTCGTTTCCTTATAGACTTTTCTTTCCCTTTTTCTGTGTTTTTGTTGTTGTTTTCTCTCTTACTCATGTTTTTCTCTTTGTGCCATATGGTTTTTGTCACACGGTTACTGTCTCCTGTATATATTTTCGCGCTCTGCGCAATAAACTCAGTTGGAAGTCAGCGCTCATGTCCTTCTTGTCTCTGTGTCGTCGTTTTGTTCTCGCGCTATAACTATCGCGATGCCACGCCTTTTAAATTAACTTAGAAATTAGAAAGTGTTCTTAAATCACGAAACACAAGTGCTCTTCGTTACCGTTCGCGTAAACTTAACATAATAGCGCACAGATTGGTACATCATATTTGAAAAATTCTACATTGTCTGCCACAACGAACGATGGCAAGGAACGTTTCCCGCCGCTCCAGTGGCAAAGCGAAAATCGCGGGCCGTTCGCGGTCCATGTGAAACGAAACCGCTATTAGCGGCTGTTGCGAACAGAGCGATTGGAGCGAACGGAACGATTTTTTTTTTCTGCAATCACGGCATGTGAAACAGCCTTTACAGATAGATCACTTCAAGGAATTCGGGCAAGAATATTACGAATTAACAGAAAGCGAATATTCTGAACCTAGAATGACAAGAACATGACGAAGTTAGCGATGTACAGTGTCAATTTTTATGAAAGGGAACACGGCAACGCTTGGCCTGCGCGCTCCGGCGGCTGCTGGCAGCGCGTTCAAGCGGGAGCGAGAGCAACCACAGTCTCTTTTCGCGTCATCTCACGGCGGGCGAAACGACCATTCGTTGCTGATATAAAACGGAAAGATTGCAAGCCGATTACCTGCTCTCTCGTGATCGCCTTGAAGGGGGAAGGGGTCGCAATCTTGCCGCTGGTTCCATATCAGTAATGAATGGTTGTTTTCTTCCCCGCGATATGACGCGAAAAGAGAGTGTGGTTTCTCCCGCTCCCACTTGAACACGCTGCGAGCAGCCGCCGGAACCTTACCGCCGGATAGGGAGCCTTCGTCTCCGTGTTTCGGAGACGCGCGCACATGGAGGCTCCCTACCGCCGGAGCGCGCAGGCCACGCGTTCCCGTGTTCCCTTTCATAAAAGTTGAGACTGTACAAAGACGCGCTCACTTACCTCACGAAGCGGAGACCATTGCGTCGGTTTGAAGTTAGCTCTGTCTATCCTAAGAAGCCAGGTCTCCCTCAGTGCCGCGTCCCGCTTTTCAGATAGGATGCGAATCAAACGCTTGTTGTCATATTCTCGCGTGTTGCATCCGAAGAGGCATCGCCAGCACAAAAGTACAGAAACCACACGAGACGCGGTGCTCACATGCGAAACTCGTCGTGATGGGCGGAGAAAAACATAGCATAATAAAACGCTTGCGAGGGCACGTGATGGCGTTCGGCCTATGGAAGCATCGAGCTAGAGTGTACTAGAACTTTTGAGTGGCGCGACCGAAACGCTTTCCCCTTGCTTTCTCCATCCCCAACTTGTGGCGAAAGTAGCGGCGGCGCTGCCATCGCCCAATCTTCCCACTTGGTTTATTCGGCTGGCTCGACGGCATGGCCGGCATCTCGGTTTTAGTCGCGAAATGACGGAAAAGTAGCGTCTAAACCATTGTTACGCGCTAGGTTGCACAACTGGATATCCGCGGGTGCAACAAAGTCGGAAGTTATTACTTTTTAAGGCCCCGAAAGACGAAGAACGACGACTTCTTTGGGAGCGGAACCTCCATCGGCTTGACAAGCCGCTTGACGCCGATTGTGCTGTGCGCGAGTTACATTTCAAACCGCATTTCATTGTGAGAGACTACGTACATGTTATCAATGGTGTTCAAGTCCGAATTCCTAGGGGAACGCCGACACTTGCCCCTGATGCAGTCCCGACGATCTTGCCCAACCTGCCTTCATATTTGACGCTCAAAACTCCGGCTCCGCGGACCCAAACAAAGCGGCGGCATCAGTGTGTGCCGGCTGAGAATGACAACAGAAAACGGCGACGCATTAGCACTCCTGCACTGCTCCTTGTGGATACCAACGGTGCAACTTCTGCAGATGGCGACGAAGCTAACGAGGCAAGCTCAAGTCCCTCGTCTGACGCAGTTGTCACTCTCGGTGACCTTCGTGGTCTTGTCTAGTCATGGGCGCTGCACGAGTTTCCTGGATTTGACGGCGTGTCGTACGTAGTGTGCTCACTGAATCCTAGCACTCGTGAACTTTGCATTCAACGAGCCGTATACTTCACCTGTGCAGACAATGGAATCGTGCAGTGTGAAGCATTCGTGCAAGAGAAACTAATCAGCAAGTCCAGTTTAGTAACTGTTCGAGAAGCCTCAGATGCTCTGCAGCTTGTTGCAAGCGCCCCACTCTGTTGTGGAGCAGCAGAAACTTCATTTTTGCCACCATCGGACCTTACCCACGGTCTACACGCGCAAATGAAGTCAAGAGGAGAAATCTTCTACAGTGTGAAAAGCGCACAGACGCACCTAAAATTGAGTAGGCTATAAATTGCTACAGTGGCGTAAAAAGGATGTCATTTTTCGTGCATATTTTCTTACACTCTTAATTTTCTGACGGTACACCAAGAAGAAAAACAATTTTTCCTAGAAGAGGCTTGTAAGCGAGAGAACATGCAAATAATGACGCGAAATCTCAAAATAAATCTTTGCTCTTGAATCTTTTTGTATTAAACCTGTGATGGTAAATTTAGCAGCATTAGGGATCTCGGTGCATAATTCATCGATCTAAGCCAATTCATTGTTGCACTTCAGTGTCCCTTCAAACGATCTTTCGACCATAACATCTTTCTTTTAAATGCATTTTGGAAAGACAACATTAACTCTGTCGTTCTGTTTGCTTTGCTTTATGTTATCCTTTGTATCCTGGCTCTATATTTTACGTTTTTTTACAATTTACCTAATTGAAAATGTATTGTGTTATAAATATGTAAACCTTGCATTTTATGTTATCAATTATGATTAACATTAGTTACGACTCTGCTTTGCAGTGTTGTTGGGTTTTTTTAAACTCTCAAAATCTTCCACTACTATGTTTCACCTAAGACATTCTTTTGCAGTATTACGTATTTGCATTTCTGTGGGTCCCACAACAATGAATCTATTCCCATATTTCAAAACCAAAGGAAGGTTTGGAAAAACTCTGCTGTTCTTCAAATAATATCAATAAAGCCTACTTTTTTGTGGTGTGTGCACGCAACCACAAGCAATGAGCCTTTTATTTGAGTCCAGCTTTGGTGTTTTACGTGGAATGGACCAAAAGTTCTTCGTTTTCTGTGCACCATATTCCTTTTTTTTGGGGGGGGGGGGGGGGGGGGGGGGGGCGCTTTCGGTGTGTACCGGCCAGCTGGTTTCTCGTCTAAAATGTGTACACTGTAAAAATTAAAAAAAAAAACGCGCTCGTTATATTGTACAATGTGCTATGCTGCTTCGGGCTGCAGTGCGGTCAGAAGCAACTTCAATAACAATAATGTCAAATAACCTTTATTTGCGCGAAAAAGGGGAGGTATGTGAATAAGAAAAAAAAAAAAGAGGGAGATCATCTTCACACTAGGCGCGACAGAGAGGTACCAACACGTACGCGAAACGCCTGCCAGCCATCCGCCCGGGAAGATTGGTCGACGCCAGCGCCACCACATCATTCCACGCCGAAACGGCCGCTCCCAGGCAGCTGCTCGCGCCACTCAAAAGCTTCTAGTACACTCTAACCGAGCGTCGGGGAAATGCGCAGGAGAGGACAGTGGTCACTTTTATTTATTCCGGGGCGTCGCTAATTCCCGCAAAATTGGTCGATTGCGTGTCCGGGTTCTGGAGTGCAGTTTCCCAACTGGGATGATTGAATAACTCTGTCTAAGGATGCATCCAGTGTTTCGTTCCACATCTCAAAGGCCATGAAAAAAAGTGTCACTAGCGCATGACCTCTGAGATGGCAAGTGCGCAGCGTGTTTACGGCGCGTTTGCCATCTCAGAGGCTCTGACAATCACGCCGTGCGCCTGCCATCTTGGAGGGCGTCACGTGTTACATGCTGTTACCGCCAGACGGCAGCACAGCTTCCATGAGCTTGAACTGCAAGAAAGCGCGCGTTCAAGCTTACTTGCGATCTGCGGTTCAACAACTTGAGAGTTGATAGATCGAGGATTTCTAGCTGACCTCCCAGGATTTGGCTTTGTGCGTTCGTTTTCAGATGCCTCCACGAAAAAAATTAAAGACGGAAAGGGCTCTTGAGAAAGCAGGTAAGTTTCTTTCCGTTGACTGCAATATGCAGAACGAGAAACGTACAACGTTCAATAGCTCAAGAAATTCATTCAGCAGTTAAATAGCTGCTCGTAAGCTACTTCGTACGAGCAGATATTTGAGACTGTTGTGAAAGCTTGAAGCACCGGTGATAGACTCGCGAATAGTGGTCCACCGACGTCGATTCCTGGCTGTCGCACGCGAGTCCGCTGCAGTAGCTTCGTGTTCTAAAGCGTAGCTTTTCGCATCTGTTCGTGCAGATGTTGTATTTTACTGCTAGTAGTTAGAGCCGTGACAGCATGACGTAATAAACGTAATGACTCTCAGGTTTGTCGTATAACAGGTGCAACAAAAACGAAGGTGCTTCGAAATACCTCTCACGTGGTTTACGCTCGCCAGATTTACCTGTGCCAAGTTTGATGAAGTGTTCAAATAGCGTCTAACTAAAAAAAAAAAAATGCTTATTCACTTTCTTGGATAATTCATATAGCACAGCTAAGAGCATGAAAGGAAACACTCGAGACTGAAGCTTTTACTTGAGGCTTTTTTTTTATATATATTAAGCAAATCGATGTGCATTGCATGTGTGTAATCAGTCTCTTTCCCTTTTCCTAATAGATAAGGTTGAATTTTTCTAAGATCTCAATAACTCCTCTTGACGCGATCGAAATGTAGAACATCACCAAACATAGAAGATTTCTTCTTTCCATAAGTACGCTTCCCATAAGTACGCTTGGAAGATGTTCTTTCCCTTCCAGGTTCCTGCTAAACTGTTTTTCACAGGCACAGTTGTTTTTTAGAAATGTTTTACAGTACACGCTAATCATCATTTATACAACCAGCTGGATAGTACGTACTTTGAAGCAGAGGCAATCTCCCTTCACTTTGTACACTTGTACCACTTTTTACTCTGTATAGCTAGTCCCAAACCATTATGAGAAGATGCACGGGAACAGTTATTGCCGAAACGCCTTCACGAGCCTGCATTGAAATGTAGCTTACACGATCCACCGCTTCCTTTTTTCAGTTATCTATATATGGTGTCTATGGCAAGGCTTGATTTTTTTTTTTTGCCTTTCTCTGTTTTCAGGCCAGCCAGAGAAACAAGCATCAAAGGATACACAAGGAAAAGATGATGTGGTTCGCTGGCTGCTCAAGTCTGAACCTGAAAGCCGCATCGAAAATGGTGTAGATATGAAGGTATTATGTTTGTGAAGGCTTCTTTGGTATACATTATTTTGTTCTACTAAAAGTACTTGTTTGTGCTGAGGGAAAGTTGGGAAGCTCGAAACCACTATGACTATACTTGCGAGCCTCGCAGCACCCTAAATAATTTATTGTCATAATTTCCAATAGCCACTTTCAGTTTTGTTTCCCAGAGGTGACACTGTGTCGTGACAGGTAAGTAACGAGAGCCACACAATGTGACGTTTTGATCCCCGCCCCAGCTCGCTTGGTTATTTCTTATGTTACTACATCAGTACTCATCAGTTGTCGTCGTGGCTACTAGAGCCGCTGACTAACACCTCCGGGTTGTAGGGCCTATATATACCCCATAAAGCGGACGACAGGATGACTGCCACTGAAGCTGATTTGGTAGAGCATCGGGTGCGTCATTCGAAGGTCGCAGGTTCAGTTCCTGCCGGCGATAAGAGATCCTTTCGTCCATTTTACTTTCTTCACCTTCACGTCATAATTACTGCATACAACGTCCCCTATGCTTTCCTTGACTGTTCAAAGTGCCCCTCTTTCGTGTGTGAGTACTGTCATCTTTCATGCTCTTTTGTCTGCTTGTTCCTCTTAATGTCACGATGGCTGCATTTCAAGGGGCAATCTGCAAGAACACCTGCATGGTTAGATTTATGCACAAGTTGAGAAACTAAGTGGTGGAAATTAATTCGGTGTTTCCAGTTATGGTGCACTTTATAGTATTGTGGCTTTGGTGCATATGACCCATAAATTATTAAAGGGACCAACAACTGGCCAGAACGTATGATTAGGTCCTGGTGGAAATAAAAAGACCATGAATTGTAGAGGCAGGTTCAAGCATCCTTTTTGCAATATAAGTAGGATTCTGATTTTAAAATGATGTTTAAATGTAAAAAAAAAGATATGTCGCACAGCCTAGTGAAATGGCCTTAAAACTAGATTATGGAGTTGCTCGCTTTGCTAACATTGCTCTACATGGTCTGATGCGTTGATGCCCACCATACCTATTGTTCAAAATTCGACAATGTATATTGTTATTCAGCTCCACTCTATTTCTGCTGCTTATGAGGTGAAAGATGTTGCGTACTAAGATGCAGTGCTGCCTTTGTGGCAACTAGTAGAATGCCTCGAGCACCGGTGTGTGCACAGTGAATCACCGCACAGAAACACTAATCAATCTCGTACTCACGTCGAGCCATAGGTCAGAAAAAGAATTGGAGCTCACACTGAGACTCACTCAACAAATATATTCGGCTCTGAGGGCTCACTCAGACTCGCCAAAATTTTTCTCATGTGGACTTACTCGGACTCGAACTAATCAACATATTATTCAGCTGAACTCACTCAGACTTGGACTTGCACCTTCACTTGAGTCTGAAAGAGCCTAAAGGAGTCGACTCATGAGTCTGAGCGAAGAACTACCATTTTTTTATCTTAGTGATGATGCTCTTTAATGCTAACACCTCACATAATCAGTCCTTTATGATATGTCTTTTTACTTATACTTTCGTATACAAGTTGTCAGTAATTCATTAAGGATATTTTTACAGCAAAAGCTCTTATGAAAACACAGCAAGGGCCATAGTTGTCCTGCTGTCGCCGTCACCAGTGCCCATAACTGCTATCGCATGAAATAGGAAAAGAAAAAATTAAATTAAAGAAAATATTTAGGAATGGACGGGGTTTAAACCTGGACCCTCTCTGTGGCAGCTCTGTTTTTATCACAGAGCCATACTGGCACTTTAAATTCCTTTGCAAAATGACTGTGTGCAGGAACCAAGTTAACATAAGTAATACAGTGTGATTGAAGGTTCAAATAACAACCAGGCGTCACACAATGCGAGTTGTGTACCCGCAGTGATATGATAGCCATGCCAATCGTGCAAGCAGGTGAAAGTTGCCACATCCTGCTACATTGTAGCAGAAATCTTATTATTTTATACGTGTGTGTGGCAAAACATTGTTTTAGTGACATTTCAAAGAATAACAGTGCTGCACGTACTTAATGTAACTAATTAATCTATCAAATTCTTAAATTTCTTTGTGCAAGGATTTTTCCAGCGCTTTAGGATACATCTTTATATTTGTGTACGACTTAACAAGACAGGAAAGGCGTCACACGGGTGACCGAAGCAGGGCAGCCTATGGTCTTTTTGACTGAAAGACTGGTATGCCTCGTGTTCAAATATGTGCCCCAACGTCGGGTTATCACTGTTTATTTGGCTGATGACATTGATTTAGAGCATGCACATCTGTGCAGGCTTGTGTGCACATACATTTTTGACATGGCCACTGCCTTTTTAAGTTGTACAGCACTGTGGAGTCAATTCACAAGCTAATGTTTCCTGCCTAAAAAAGAAGAGGGGGGGAGGGGGAAGGGGCTCAGTGCACCGCTGTTTAGCAATGCAAACTACCCTATACAGCTTGGGCTCTAACTGTTTTGGTGTTGGATAAAAGCAGTACTTCATGATATTATGTCTTTTTGTGGGAAGGAAACTTTTTACTTGATTGATTGCAATAATTACAGTGACCAGTGCATCTATGTGCTTCAACAAACTACTGCTTTTCTGTGTTTTTGTTCTTTTTCATAAAAATTAGCATGGCTGTTTGTTGTCGTTAACTTTGAGAAGAAGTCATGCAGAGTGCCTGTTTGAATATGTTACTACCGTCAAGATTTATCAATTTCACTTGCGGCAGAGGCCTGTGAAAATTTGCCCAGAACATACTTGCTCACACACATATTTATTTTTTCTATTATCACGAATTTAGATAGACATAGCTGAATAGCATGAACACAAAGGACCGGTTGAATAATAAACTCTATATATTAACTGCCCACAAAAGTGCAACCTAACGACCCTCTTTATGAAGCAAGACAGCATATACAGTGGACCTTCATTATATAGGACGCACGACTGTTGTCACGATAACTGCTTTTTGGATAGGAAAAAACAAATTGTGCTATACTCACGCAGCTTGCGCTTTCGTACAGTAACTAAAACATTGGAAATACTTCTTTTAATGATAACAAATTTAAACTGCGTCGCAGAAAAATGTGAGGTGACGGATGGTCACTGCGCTGAAGGTGTTTGGGCACAAGGAAATGAAGAGCATTTAGTTATTTTATCTTTTGAAATTTTATGAATAAACATACATCCATGTGATCCAATAGTATAGCCAGAAATATTTTTTGCCGAGGGAGGGTTCAACTGTAATTTATGTAGGTTTATGCATGCATTTAAATGTGTGCGTGTGTATAAACACCAGCAGAATTGACAATTCTCGAGCGGGTGGGATGAACCCTCTAATCCTCCAAGGGGATCACTCTTGTAACCAGCATCAGTTACAAGCTTACAGTGCTCTGTCATTCGCTCTGCCGTCTTCCAACCTCGCGTCTCTCCATTCTCCCCAGTTCAGCATTGATGACCTAATCAAGTGCCCCAACAGCACATCATGCTGGGATGGAGTAAGAAACTATCAGGTAAGCCATTAAGTGCGAACCTGCACTTAATGCCACGAAGCCATTTCACAGTCTTCTTCAAGGCGCCAGCTGCCTGCCTGAGCACATGTGTGATTTGTGTGCTTTTTGCACTCAACCTCAAGAGTCAAGTAGGAGAGGGCAAATAGGACAACAGGGAGGGCGAGAAGGAAAAATAGAGTGGATATTAAGATAAGGATTAAGTTTTACTGCTTTTTGTGATGCACTCACCGTATCAGATGGATTCTACAGCTTCTTTTGAAACATTTATAACTGTTAGCTGTAGTGTATTACCATAAAATATCGAGCACCTGCCCTTTTCAAAGAAATTGGAAATATAGATCAATGGACCGATCTTTCCTGACTTCAGTCAGAAAGCATTTCTGATTTCATTGTAAAAGCCTCTTTAACTTCTAGTAACATGGAAGAAAATTAATATGTGAATCTCAGTATGGTTTTCTGGTTGGAAGGCACAGAATCATCTGGAACGGCAGGCACTAACAGCACTTGTTTTCGCACGCAGTAAACTTTTTTTTTACTGAAATTTACTACCAACTATAGCAGAAGCAGTAAAAACCACTACAAGCTTCACATTACTATCGATATGTAGGACTAGGTTCATTTAATCAAGGGTTGTCTGATTGGCAAATCAGGTTAATTCAAATAAATTTTCTAGCCATAACGTATGGCAAGAGGTTGTGTGAGCCAAGACGTCATTCTTGCTTTGTAGAGTGTTGCAGATAAAGGCTTATCGTGGTGTGTTAAGAATGCAGTCAGTAGCATTTATTCAAACTCTTCACAGCCACTGATTCTTGTTTTATTCAAACAACTATAATCAGGACATGCTATAAAATACTATTCCAGTTGTAATAAACCCATTTTCATCATATGAATGCAAGCTGGTTCTTAAGAGAACATTTTTTCAGTCGAAACAGGTTTTGTTGTTCTCTTTTGTGTATGTGAAGAGCCTTTCTGTTTTCTTTCTTACGGCAAGTATGAACTGCTTGACTGCGGTCTTTGTGGTTTCCTACTTTATTTCCAGGCACGGAACATTTTACGTGACCAGATGAAAGTTGGCCACCTGTGTTTCTTTTACCACAGCAATTGCAAGACTCCCGGAATAGTTGGCATTGTCGAGGTATGGACACGAACCACGTCGTCTGATGTAAGACATGCGTGTCACGTGAAAAGAACACTAAAGGCTAATATCAAGTCGATGTTGGTGCCTGGAATAGCGGTCCAAAAACCTCGTAATGCTACTTTTGTATTGAGGAAGTGCTTATTTTCAAGTAAAGTCTGGTCTGTATCTAGTTCGTGGTGTGTATCGCGTTAGTGCGCTTCAAATCATCTGTCTGATAGCCTGGCCTTTCTTATGTCACTGTTGCGATGCTCAACGTCGCCCCCCTTTATTTCATGGCTACAGACATTAGTAGCAGCTGAGCGAAAGTAGCGGGAGCTACAGCAGCAACAACGGCCATTGAACAATTTTCTGTTTGCTTGGTTTAACTTGGCCCTGCTAAACGGCTTCACCTATCCAACCTAATCAGGCAAAAATGCAACTTTTGAACCACTCACGCCATTCGCCATAGTAACGCCAGGTTTTTTTTTTTTTTATGAATCGAACAGAAACAACCAAGTAGCATTTTATTTAGTCTGTTGATGCACAGAAGGTTATTTTTTTATTGCAACTAGTTTGATTACTACTGATTAGTTACAGTCAGACACTCCCACGTCATCGGCATCATCGCCAAGATGTCCCATTTGTGGCGCACGTCATGTGATACATTGAGATTAATTTCTCAGTAAGTAGGGAACTTCTGTTGATATTATTGCCAGCTTTGATCTTGTCATGCATTGAGCTTTCACTCTGACATAAATTGTTATTTGCCTTTAGTGTCCCTTTAATCTTCTTGCTTGACTATATATAAAATTTCACATCAACAGGGTATGGACAGCAAGCTATAAGAATACATTTAGTTTCCTAGCAGTTTTTGACGAAAAGCATGCTGCTCTTGAGACGTTAACTTGATAGGGGCATTGATCAACACTGCAAGTCAGTATCATACACAACCACAGAAGAGCCTTCTCAATGTTCTCAGTGCTTTTCCCATATGCAGTAGGCTCTCAATAAACAGAACCTGAAGGGACCGGGAAAATGTGTTCCGTCTAACAGGGGTTCCGTTTACTGAGAGGTGAAGTGGGTTGCAGCATTCAAGTTTGAAACCAATCTTATCAGAGAAAGTTGTTCCATTTAAGCAGCAGTTCTATTTAACAAATTTTTGTTTACTGAAAGTTTACTGTATTTCTGCAGACTTGAGGGGTATATACAAAATTACAACATCAGTATAAGAATGTACTTCGAGATACTTGCAGACTTTTAGGTGGTTTTTCTAAAATAACAGCGTTATGGATGCACGCTTGCTAAGAGTTGGATAACCAATTATATTTGCATTGCGAGCAACATTTGACTTCTGTGCATTTTTATACTGGTGCGCACCACAAATGCTTCTATATACACCTTGTGTGTTCTTATGCTTAATTTTTTTTAATTAAGTGTATATAATGAGTTGGTGCCAGAGCGTGGTATCGGCTACTCCTCTTCTCTTGCACAACAGTCGTCATTGCATATTTGGTAACAAACACTAAGGCTATAATCTAAGCTAATAGTATACTATTGTAGTACGACAATAATTGTAGTGTTGCAGTGCAGTAACTGTGAGTACGCATGAGAGTGCTGGGATTCCAAACTAATAATGATAATAACTGTTAGGATTTAACATTCCAAAATCACCATATGATTATGAGAGACGCCGCAGTGGAGGGCTCCGGAAATTTCGACCACCTGGGGTTCTTTAATGTGCACCCAAATCTGAGTACACGGGCCTTAAGCATTTTCGCCTTCATCAAAAATGCGGCCTGTAGCCAGGGTTACATCCTGTGGGACTGCAAACTTTGTGGCTTTCACACCTTTCACTCAAAGCAAATGAGAATAGCTTGTGATGCATGCGACTTCCTGATAGAAACAACAAGAAGTATTTATTCTCAGTGGTATCCTTCCTTCACATTAGGTTGTCAAGGAGGGTTATCCAGACCACACACAATTTGACAAGAAAAATAATCATTATGACAGGTAAGCTGAACTGCAGTATATGTATATTGTGTACGTTAGCTTCTAGTAAGAAAGTGTTGTCTTATTTCAGAGCTGCTATTATTGCCCTGTTTTTTGTTTCACGTCATTAGTTTTTACGCCAATTAAAATGCAGTATAGTCAGTTGGAGATTGGCACTTTTTTACTTTGTCTCTTGATTACTCTCTTAATTTAAATCTGTTATGAGGGTACCACTGCAGTGAACTATCAAGGCACCCAGCCTATCATAAGCATATTTAGATTCTCTGAGGAACAATTCCTGCAATCTTCTTTGTATCTTCCTAGTTTAATTCATAGAACAAATATCTAATTCGTTTTGTGCATACTCTTTATTGTTTTAATGAAGTTCTTTTTGTACTGGCAATGCACAGTATAAAAAAATGCTGGTTGGTCGTCAGGCTCTCTTTCTTGCCTGCACGGTGGAGGGTTTGAAGCCCCTGGCTGCAATCCCACTGCCATCAGGGAGAGCCGGTGCGCGCTGGCCACGCAGACGTAAGAGGCCATCATGGTCTCGCGAATCCCGCCCAATGTGCACCCACAACACAGTGTTGGCGGATGAAGGGCCAGGGCAGCCACGCTTCTCAATTCCGTCATCCGCAATCGTCAATCCGTCACATTCGTCAACGCCGCCCAATGCGCTTGGTCCGACCAGTTCCTGGCGATCGGGGTAGGGCTCGTCTCCGGTGCGCTCGGAGCAGGTGGTGGTGGCCCTCGTCCTCCAGGGCGAAAGCAGACTATACATGCGGATTTCAGGGCAGAGGTCCGGGCCTTCGTCTTGGGTTTGATACTGGTGGAGACGGCCTGCTTGCTTTGCGGCAAGAGTGTCAGCCCCCACATCATCACTTGGTTCCCCGCCCATATGGGGACCACGGTATCCTCCGTCACTCCCATTGCGAACGAGCTGGCCCACGCTTGCGCGGAAACTTACTCACTGCGCTGGGTAAGGGCTGCTCGCATGCGTGGCCAAGGGGTTCCACAAGGACTCAAGCCAGACAGTTAACGAGATGACGAAGCACTATAAGCTTAGCAGGAGGGTCTATCCATCACCTCACGCCAAGCTCTCCAGGCTTCACTCTTCCACCCTTCGCATGTTAATGCGCGTTTACACTGAAGTGACATGACACTGACACGACGCCAACGAAGACACGAGGCAGACGCAGACCATCGGTCACTAGACCCCATGGTCACACACAGCGATGACGACGCATCAAGAGGCAGCATATCGTCGAAGTGTAACATGATGACAGACAGAAAACACCAGCAAAACACATTAGCAAACCAGTTGTCGGGACTGAGCGAAAATTGGCCCATATCTTTGCTTCAAAGGGTCACGAAGGGGGAAATCTTAAGGGAGATAACAATGCCCCCTCTGGGGCTTCTAGGATGTTTGAATAGGCATCTTGTGCACCCCACTAAAGTCTTTTCTTTGCTTCCCTTTTGTGTATCCCCACCCCTGTTCCTGGCCGCTGAGGATTATGGCTGGGGCTGCGCTGTGGGCGTAGCCAAGAAGGACAATGGCAGAGCAGGGCGCATGGCTGATAATGAGGTGCAGGTGTGCATGTTTAGTCAGCGTCACTATGTGTGCCTCTAGTGTGACTACAGAATCGGCCAACGAAAGGCTGTGAGTTCGACAAGGCGCGGACGGAGTCTTCCAGAGACCATCGGCAGACTGTTTGGGTCGTTGCAGTGTAAATGTGATGACTGACAAGACAAAAGACACTCCCAAAGACAGTCGGCAGACCACAATCACTGTCGTGTCTCTCTAGCGTCTTTACAGACTGTGTCCTACCCTGTTAGCCAGGGTCAGCAAGTACGCAGACTCCTAAATGTCCAATTACCCATACTGCTGAGATCACTTCTGCACTTTAGAACACATGATCTGGCGACATCCCTTTTTACGGGACAACAATCGTTTCACCGCAGAAGCAGAGAGGGAGGAGGGTCCAGAGGGCCCATGACACAGTGGTCAGGGGCCCCCTGCCCGTCCCGACCTGGGAACTGCCCGCGGCGGCTCCACCCCCGAAGGGCACTTTCCTAGTCACCCCTTGGGACCTCAATAAAGTTCATTGTCTGTCCGTCTGTATTGAAAAATAGTGCATCAATGTCTAAGAACTGTGCATTATATAATTGTCTTTATCGTTCATGTACAGTTTTTTTTTTTTTGTGCAGTGATTCTCATTCAAGGCAGCCTGCACTAGCAGTAGGCAATGTTTTTAATTTTTTTTTTATTGTGCATGAAATTTTCTCAGCTCTCATTCTTCTCACTGTTCACAGCAATGCAGCGTTAAATGCGAAACCTGATTGTTGAATTTAGTTTCGTCATTCAGGCTTAGTGCACTTAAGGGTACGTATGTATTTTCCAAAACTGTTTGCTTTATTTTTCTTTCTCCCAACAAAAGTTTAAGTTGCAAAACTTTTTTTTTTTCTCCCGACACAAGCCTCAGCACAACTGAAAAACCGAGGTGGTTCATGGTCGACGTAAAATTTGTCCGCAAATTGGAACGCCCGATCACTTTGCCAGAACTGAAGAAACTTCACGAGAAGCATAAGTCGCAAAATCCCAAGGGTCCTTTAGCAAACATGGCTCTGGTTGCAAGATCACGACTCTCAGTACAGCCAGTCACAAAAGGTATTTCAGTCTGGTTTGCATTGCGAAGTGTCTGCAGTATGGCAGACTAGTTAACACAGGTGTTCATCACTAAAAAATATTGTGAGCCTTTATGTGCACGTGATCTTAGTCATCTGCATATGACTGCAATCACTTCATATTTTCGTTTCTAGCTTGCAGGCCATTTTGGAATACAGCTTTCACTCACTGACTAAAGCTATTGCATCTTTAAAAGTAAAGGTACTGTATGGTACCAAGTGCTTGAAATATGCAAAGTTTTCATACTGGTTACATGTTGATGGGCACTTTGTGCAAGCAAAGCCACAAAACACAGTTCTAGAGAAGAAATAAGTTCATAGAAAAAAGATGTAGCCCGCCCCTTAGTATGCCTTCCACAATTGAAAAGTAGTGATAGAATTACACGTATAAAATTTAACCCAAGCTGGTTGAAAAAGTTATAATACTGTTTTCTATTTCAATTTAAACACTCATGGCATCACTTATCTTATACTCAGGGACAATTTTTCGTAGTTGCTTAGCCAAAGATACACAGCTGAGGCATGCTTGTGATAGTGCCTGTACTGCATTCTGTAGCTTCAAATTGTTCTGTTCTGTTCTGTTTTAACTGTTTTGCTGTGGAGAGGTTGAGGAGCTTATTGCCTCGGCTACTCCATATCACAAAGTTCTGCAGCGAAAAATAAAATAATAATACAAAACGGTACCCAAAAATTAACAATACGGAAAAGAAAAAAGAAAACACATAATAGCACACTGAAACCAGTTCAAATAACATGCCAATACACAGTTTTCTTCACGCAGTTCACACAGTCATAAACTATTTACACGCACACCTCACTACTCTAATGCCAGTATATGCATGACCGCATTTTACATAATACCCATCTCTGGCTGTCAGTCATAGGCGCTTGTCCAGTCCGGTCTCCACTAAATAGTCTGTCAGGAATATTATTGCCTTTTTCTGAAGATGCATCTCAGGCCATGGTCCAAGTAGTTTCTTTATTGTGAGGGGCCGTCTGTCCAAACTTGCTAATTTGTTCTTTAATTTTTCTCTTTCCTTCGCGTATTTAACGCACTCCAAAAGAATATGGCGAACATTTTCTTCTGCATGACCACAATGGCATTCCGGTGAGTTGGATCGATGTATCTTGTGCAGGAAGCTGTTTGTGTATGCTACTTCCAATCTAAGTCGCTGGATCAATGTCTCTAGGTGTCGTGAGAGGTCTGTCGCTATGGAAAATTTTCTGTGTGGATCAACTTCATAAAGTACCGTTTCCTTTGATTTAGGGCTCTCAAACCACTTCTCCATCGAACAATGGTTAGCTCCTTGCGATATAAAATTTCGAATATCCGTCCCCGATATAGTGATTGTGCAATCCCGTCCTTCCTTCAATGCTTTCTTCGCGAGACTATCAGCATCTTCATTTCCCTTTATTCCAATGTGGCTGGGTATCCATTGGAATACGATGTTGTGACCCTGCGATGAGGCATATTCCACAGTTTCTGTGATACATTGTGCTATTTCACCATTTCTGTAAGGTGATCTCACATTTCTGATTAGCTGAAGAGCAGGTTTGCTATCAGTGCATATCACCCATTTTCGTGGCTCGGGATTCTCGCAGATAAGCTTAACTGCTTCAAAGATAGCCACCAATTCTGCTGTCGTCGATGAAGATTTGTGCGATAATTTGTACATCCTCTTTTTCTGAATTTCTGGTATAAAGACCGCACAGGCTGACGCTTCTTCTGTGCATGATCCATCTGTATATATCTTCGTTTTTTCATTATGCATTACATGAAGCTGATGAAGTACCAACTGTGCCGCTACTAGAGGTGCCATGTCTGATTTCTTCTCTATGCCGTCTATTTCACGGATAACATTGAGAAGTGGCAGCGTCCAAGGTGGTTTTGAAGGTTTCCATTGTTTAAATTCTGGTACTACTGCTTGAAATGATGATATAGTATCCTGTAGTCTCGTTGCCGTTCTTTGTGTTAGTGCACCAGATAAAAAATGACTTTCATGTTGCGTGAAAATTCTAAATAAATTTCGAGATGTTTCTTTAGTTCGGAGTACTGCCAAAGGTGGCTCTCGAGCCTCCGCATACACTAAAGCACTGGAAGTTGACCGTGGTAAACTCAGACATACCCTCAAGCTCCTTGCCAATAACAAAGTGAAGTCTCCTTTCGGTGGAGGCTGGGAGTCCGTGCAGCAGGGGCAGTGAGTAAGTTACGATGGGGCGTATCCAGGCAACATGTAGCGCTAATAACGACTCTGTAGTACCACCCCATTTGGCCCCGCAGAGATGCCGGAGGATTCGAATGGTTTGATTCACTTTTTGTTCCAGGGACTGGACATGAGGCGACCATGTTAGTCTCCGGTCTAAAATTACTCCCAAGAATTTATGAGTTTTAACCATTTTAATAGGCTGATTTTGCAGAATAATCTGGAAATTTCCAGGTCTTTTTAATGTAAACGGAAGTATGGCTGTTTTGGCCAGACTCAGTGCCATACCTCTTTTTTTTAGAAAATGGTCTACATAATCCAATCCTTCTTGTAGAGTTTCAAATTTAAGTAGTTGCTTTTTCATACTATAAATACGACAGATACTTGTACTGAATAATATTGCACTGTGCTTATTAGCACAAAAGTGTTTTTTTTTTGTTTATGTGTGTATCAGATGGAGCTTTGTGCTGCGTGACCTTCTTCCTTACCCTTTTTATTCTTTGTGGCCTATTACAGAAGAATGGGACTTCATCCTCAACCTGGAGAAGTCTTCATTGAAGTAATGTTTTTGGTAAATCGGCATCTATCTTTGCTCAAGACAAACCTGCGGTAGCTAGTCGTCACCTAAGGGCACGCATTTCTGCCTAAAACATCTCGGCAGCGTAAAGGTGTCTTAATAAAGATATACGAGAATGTTTCGCATCCTTGCCTCATGATCAGTTTACACTGCACATTTAGGTACAGCAGTAGAATGCTGTATTTGCAATGAAAATTGTTCGTTCATGCTACTGCACGGGGTAAATCTTTTGAATTAATGAGTAAGTAAACGACTGTTATGGGCAGGTGGTGCACTTATGCTGTTGTAGCGAATGTGTGACCTTGCAGACCGGCGAAGTCTCTGTCTTCCCCAAAAGAGAAAGCCCGATTTGACCATTGATCAGTACTATTTTGATGACTCGCTCGAACGGCAGCGCGCGTAGGCCCTTGGCTGTGGCTCCTGTCTTGTGCAAGTTTTACTGTCTCATTCTTTTTCATGCGCCACCGGTGCTGCTGCCGCTACTCTTTCTTGAATTATTTAGGATTGAAAAAATAAATGTATTACTTTGACCATGATTCTTCTGTGTAGGTAGGTCAAAATTGTGCTAAAACAGAAGAGTGCCAACTTCTTGTGTGCCACCTCAGGCTCTGTAAGCACAATTGAGTATGCCGACAGTGTGTCAGAAGCAGAACCCATGATAACAATGATATTTACTTTGTGTTTCGTATTTCGTGAAAAGATTGAAGTGAGGCTTTCCTTGCAAGTCTCACTGAAAAATTAAGGGCTCTTGGTTACTGAAATGTAGTGTGCATAGGCATAATGCTGAATTTGGGAGTGTGGCATACGTCAACTGTGCTATCTGCTGCTGACGCACTGTACAGAGCTTTAGAGTGCGGAACACAGATGCGGTGTCAAAGTGGTATTGATCACTTAAACGAGGGAAGATAGTAAAGTGCCAAATGTCTCAGTGCACTAATTTGCACGTGGGAAAATCTTGGGTGTTCTTTTCACCTTATGGAGTTGAACCCATTTTTGTAACAGGCATTAACATACCACAAAGTATAAAAGACACCAGTCTGCCTACACTAAAACAGTGGTTGACCAGAAAATATGGACGTAGTAGCTTGCTTATATGAGACACCTCATATAAGGGACAAAAGCTACTGCCTGGTGCGTGTATTATCAAAAGGCTCTACTGTACAATTGCTCCTGTAATTTGCATCTGTGGGGAGATCATCCTGAATACAATGCAAAAGCTTTTTTTTGTTATGCATAAATGATTTCATTTCGATTTGTGCTTAGTAAGCACTAATATAAGCTTAGTAAGCTATCAACAATATAAGGCAATATAAGCAGAAATCAGTGTAAATTATGCTTTTATTGCTATCTTTCTTCATTTTCCGAGGACCAAGTCATTAGTTTTCTAAGTCACAGATGTACTACTCTATTTCTAAATCTTTATCAAAACCTCATTGGAAGCATAAAAATAAGATGAGAAAAGAAAAACCTTTGCAACCTCAAAAGTTAATACGAAACTTCTAATTGGATTTCCAGAAGTGAAAGTAAACTGTTTTTTCAAATGAGTCAGTGCAGCACTTTAACGAAGCATGCACAAGTTTGGATTGTAGTGATGTGTTGGTGTAACCGGGGGAAGAAAAACAGCAAGCCACTGATTGCAACATTGAGGAAACAATTTATTTACATCTAACAGCCACTATCTTCACAGGAAGGCTAAGCACAGTTTATAAATAGGTAACGCTACAGATCCTATACAGAATCAGCTGCATGTGACTCCAACACCTCTGTACACTGAGGCCTTCTCTCATATGCCTTTTTTTGTTGTTGGTTATTGATTCTGTCAGAGAAAAAAACAAAACAGCACGCATTCAGAAGTAATGATGAGTTGACCACCGACGTTGGCTTAGCACAACCTTGACACAAAGCTTCACAATATGTGTTGAGTCACACTAAATTACACATTGCATTTCACAGCATTTCAGAACACTTATGTATGTACAAACAAGCAAAAAATGAAATAAAAACAATTGAACACAAGATGACACAGAGATTCTTTCCTTGGTATATAGCGCACCAAATAAATAAACTAAACAGCTCTACGACCCAACTATGTACAAATCAAAGGCCCGAAAACTCCCTGTTCTTGCATACTAAGGCGCATCACGTTTTTCACTCTGAAACAGAAGTTAAACCTGTCAGAGCGTCTTTCTGTCACACAACAACAATTGTTACCTGGCTTGCTTGCATTTGCTTTATTGAAGAGTGGAATCACTACTGTTCTGCCAAGAAAGCTGTGCCACACTGATAGCCTGTAAACCATTCGCCAGGCATGTGGTGTTAAACTGAGAAGATGCAGGCAAGGTAGATAATGGTTATCATGCTATGACAGAAAGACACCAGAAGCAATGCAACTTTTTTTTAAGCATGGTATTGTGCATTTCGTGCTGCACAAATCCCCCGTCCCTGATTTGCAGCTATTACTTCCTTGAAAACCTTCCAAATGCAACATCAGTAGTACTGCGGATGCCTCCTGTAGTCCCGTAACCTCAAGTACAGACAGCAGGAGAATATCATGCCGAAAACCTGGGGGGGAGGAAAAATAAGAAACATGAGCCAGATCACTCAATGTATATTGCTCAAGTATTGAAACTAGAAGTTTCTTCATTGTGTAAGTAGGCGTGTGCAATGGGACAATGGGTGGTGGTGAATATTTGATCTATAAGTAGCATATGAAAGCTTGTGTGTATCTCAGTTTTAATGATATCAGAGAGCCTTTAAATGTCCCTAATACAATGCACAAGTGATGGTATAAGTGGGAAAGGTGCATGTCAGTTGATTCTCTAACTAACTGTTTGACTGTGTGCTCACATCTGTCAGATAACATTTTGGAGGATAGTATGTGGTCATAGTTCCAGTGAGAGGTGTTGAAACTGCAGTAAAGTATGCATTTTGAATTGATATTTCTTTAGAAATAGATCATGCGAGTCGTTCGAGTGAGCTGTTCTCGCACGATTTACTGGCTCAAAAAGCAGCAGGAGGGGAGGGGGCTCAGCAAGGCTATGGAGCAGCCCCAAATGTGGGATCCTGCATGTATCTGTGATTGCATCAGGAACAACAGTGCAGTTTGCTTTCTCATTGATAGCGCGTTTATGTAACATTTTTAATATATTGCCATTCTCTTTTACACTTTCCTCAAACTTATTTAATTAACCAATGGCATTCGAAGTCAGTTGTGGGTGTTGCAGGCTTATTTTTTCTGGTTTCCTGAAGGCATGAAGGATACTAGTATTAGCCTGCAGGTAAACACAGTACTATAGCTGTCTGGCTTACTTGGCGATGCATAGTTCAGTAGGCAGACCAGCACAAATGCACACAAGAAACGATGAAGACACGAGACTTCAATTAAGAGTTCATTTTTGGAGTCACCTTGCATATTTATGGACAACCATTCATATCGGAGAAGATATCGCCTTCTGTCCTGCATCTTCTTGGTTTCTTGTTACGTTTGTGCCTAGTCTACCTATGAACTACATAAATACGAGTGGACTTTGAGAACAGCAAGCACCAAGTCAAGAATAATTAGTCATGGATTTCTTTGTTGGAATAGTCGTGGACCAGTTGCACCCTCTAATACTCTTTGCTAAGGCCACCAGCTGCAGTAATTTAACGCTGATTTTCATGTTGAGAAAATATGTCAGGGAGAGTTGGAGGCTTGGTAGCAGTGAGAAATAAAATAATTGAACTGGAAACATAGCTCAAGCCGACTCTAAGATAAGTGGGCTTTTCAAAACATCGGCTTCAGCAACATTTTTTTTTTCGGTCGTTCCCATAGTTCCTGTGTAAAGCGAGGCTTTTCAGGGCATCCAATCTTGTTTATATATGAACCATTAGGAAGCATTCTGCATGCTTTTACTTCTCCCCTACACTCATTTAGGCTTTTTATTATTAGCTTTTGACATAAATCGTACTTTTCAAAAGCAAAACCTCAATTATAAAAATTATTTTCTCATTTTGAAGCCAGTTGTAGTCTTTGATGATGCCTGAAGAGGGAAGAAACTTACCCCTGATTTCTCAGTAATAACATAATCTCTGTTACCAGTCTTTTTGTCAAAGTGAAACAATTCCTACTGATCACTTCACAAAATATTTGTAGTACACTTTATTTCAGCTGAATTTTTTCTGTAGCCAGGATATTATAAATTAAATGTGAATGCACAAGCACTGCATACTCTAAGGACAGTTCCAACTCTGAATGTTGACAGAAGCATCTCTTTAATATGATTGCTGTTGTAGGAGAGTTCACTTTTACCTGAACAAGGCATATTCCAAGGCCAACAGCTCCTATGATGATTAAATGCTCCCGTATCTGTTCATCAAGTGCATTGATGCATCCCTGAAAAAGAAAACAAAAATTTTTAAGCCATGGCAGTTCAGTGACTAAGGCGTTTCACTGCTGAAATCTCGGATGTCAGTTTGAATTTAGTTCGCAGCATCAGGAATATATCAATAAGGGAGCAATACAAGGACACTGGCGCATTTAGATTTAGCTGCACGCAAATAATCAGGTGCTCAAAAATTAATCTAGAGTCCCCCAATATGGTGTGCCTTATACAATAAAAGCACATTGATTCGACATCCGTTTGTTTGAAAAATCGAATAATTTAGATGCATTTTCTGGTCCCGGCAAGCCTCTGTATTGTATAGTGGCAATGAACTCACTAATTCGGTAATATTTGGCCGCAGCTTGGTCATTGAGACAATTCTCAGAGTTCGCCAAGTTGTGCGATGCAAAGGAGTAAAAACGGCAATCACAGACACCCGAAACAAGGCGGAACAGTCTACATCACCATTGTCATCAGCATGAACCGTACAGCAACGACGATCACAATGTTTTGTGTCGATTTGGGGTTTGTAGATTTCGGGTTACATAGGAAAGCTAAGTTGCGAGCCACAGTCTTTTTGTGAATAGTCATGAGTGGTGAAAATTGCAGCTTTTTCACTGCTATTATGTGAAGCAGGCGAAGCATTTCACATTATTCAAGAAAGTGAAAGTGTATTGATGTAGGCATTTGTTTATTTTTGGCCCGACACTTTCGATAAATGATAATTTGGTTAATTCAGACATTTTTTCCAGTGCCGCATAATCGTAATTGACAAGTTCTTACTGTAATCATGCCTTAGCTTGCATGTGCAAATAGCAAACCGAATCTTGTATGAATGAAATGGTGATAAAACCAAATCAACTGTAAATACAAGTAAACACTGTTCGAATAGTTTTAAAATAGAGAGTCATTTTCAAAGCAGTATATTTACACGAACTAGTAAGGCAACAATATTAAAACAGCCCAACAATTCCACAGCATTTTTAGGGGCGAAGCTTCTTAGGCCGTGGGTCTGTCTCTCCTCTGTATGTATGTAGCCATTTCTAGTTTAGTTTATGAAAGGCTCAATAGATAGTGTTGTGTGTCCTAGCAGAAATCAGTTTGCAGCAAAGTAACTATGTAAAGACGACAGATGGGGCTTGGGTAATGTGAATGACGTAATATATGAGGCATGTCATTGAATGCCTGCGATCATGAAAGGCACTCGCACTAGGCACTCTTGGAACGCGTTCTTTCGCAGCTCAAAGTCATCGGATAGATTTTGATTTGATTGATTTGTGGGGCTTAACGTCCCAAAACCACCATATAATTATGAGAAACGCCGGAGTGGAGGGCTCAGGAAATATCAAGCACCTGGTGTTCTTAACGCACACCCAAATATGAGCACGCGGGCCTACAGCCTTTTCGCCTTCATCGAAAATGTAGCCACCGCAGCCGGGATTCGATCTCCCGGCAGGCCTGCGGGTCAGCAGACGAGTACCTTAGCCACTAGACCACTGTGGCGTGGCTCACCGGATGGAAGTAGCAGGCAAGGCTGCAAAGCGGAGAGTGCGCAAGGTGGTAGCAGCGCGGGTTCGCAGACAGAATGCGGTTGTACGTGATAAAGAGGCCAAAGCATGTCGTCAGGCTGCGTGGGCAATTAACACCCATCAAAACTTCAATGTGATTCTCAACATACTCAAAGATGAGAGATGCTTCCCATTCAAGCCGTATGTATGGTAGAATTCTTCGGTAGCGGTAGCGCACACATTCACACCATTCTGTGGATCGATAACGCCCCGCAAAAGGAAGTGTCTGGCAATATGCCGCGCACGCTGGAAATAGTTGAATCATTGCTTATGCTCGACACAGACCTTGTAAAGAGACACAGGACACAGCTGCACACTCATACACACACTTGAAATAAGCGGGAACGCACCAAGTGCCACTTCGGAGCACCGCTCATGCCGAGTAATGACACTAGAATTATAACCCCTTTTCTCAACCGAGGCCGAGAAAGCACATCGCCAGAAACTCAAGCAGCGATACAAAAGAGATGCACGACGCTTTCGAGAGAGGGGATCATTGGTCTCAGAAAAGTTTCTCCCCATTTTCGGCGTTAGGTTCTATGCGGAATACATGGGCATTCTAAGAGCCAGATTTACGCGTCCCTGCGTTCTACATCGTCGCACCCCGGCGCAAAAAATGGTTAATCCCTTCAACCCCTGGATTGCCAAGGTCCTTGATTGCAACATGGATCTTCAGGTGATCCTAAACCATTATGCATGCTGCAACGTATGTTGTCGATTACATCAACGAGGCGGATCCTGGCATGTCCAACGTACACGAGGCCGTAATGCCAATTCTAGAGAAAAGCCCGAAATGGTATATTCTGCCATCACACACTCTCTGGGGGTGACTGTGCTCAAGGGTATTGAAATGTTGGCGCAAGAGGCAGGCCTGGTTGCCCTTGGGTCAGGAAATGTCTGAAAAGAGCCGTGACGTCATTTACATACCCACCTGCTACCCAAAGAAAGGTGCATGTATGCAAGACCAACCGAGGAATTAGCAAACATTGGCATCTCTTCCTTCGACGTCTGGAAGCTCAAAATCGTCCGAAGGTACGAAGGCAGGCCACCCGAAACGGAAGACGTTTGCCTTGCCAACTTTGCAAGCGAGTACAAACCCAGATACGGTCCTCATGAGCACACCATAGTCATCCACTACAGCCATTACATTGCCGCAGAGCAACTGGAGGATTATATGAGAGAGCAGGTCCTCCTTTACGTACCCTTCAGGAACGAGGCTGTTGACGTTCGCTATCATAATGAATACCTCGAAGACGTTCCAGGTCAATAAGGACCTGATTGCTACCAAACATCGGCAATACAACATCAGCAATGCCAATGACATTTGTGGCTCAGTTGATCGAATAGCACAGGATACAGCAGCAATGAGAAGAAGATGGCGCTGCAGCCTTTCTCGCCGACAAAGATGCCGACCTCTTGCCCAACGAACAGCTGATGTGTGCCTGTCAAAGACACTAGTCCTTTTGCCTGCTGTGCGCAAAAGGCAAGACGTTATGGATAGAGAGGAATATGACAAAATCATACACATGACAAATGCCAAGCAGTACGAATTGCTCCGAGAATTGTCTACTGGCAAATCACACTCTGAGCACGTTCGTTGCCTGTCTTCTTGACAGGACTTGCAGAAACATTTGTCCTAAAGCTCGTCATGGACATCAACAAGTGCTATAACGATAATGCTGATTCATACAATGCATTCGTCATTTGCGTGAGCACAGGAAAAGCAGCCATGGCTGTTGGAGGAACCGCTGTGCACTCTGCCTTCAAACTCCCTCACAAGAAAGAGGATTGCAAATTGCGCGACAGCAAACTCAATACCTTTCGAGTTGCTTTCCATTATGTCAAGTGCATCATCATTATGAGGTTAGCTTGCTGTCATCTGATAACCAAGCAAATCACCCAAAAGCTAGACTAACCCTTCAGGGGCCTCGACGTCATAATGTGTAGTGATTGTCTGACGAAAAGACGAGAAGTCGTCAGACAATCCGATGCCTCCTTCTCGGCTCTGCTCACGAAGATCGGAGACATAGGAGCGCTTCAGGTCGACGTGGTTCGACTACTCGACATGCGCTTCATCACCACAGAAGAAGCCTTGGTTCATACGTCCTCGGGGATAAGAATCTTCCATCTACTCCAACAAAGAGGTCAACAAATTCAATACTTTCATTGCACAGCGAGTAGGAGAAGAAGTCGTTTGACTACCAGCTGAAGATACCTACTAGGGGTTTGCCAACCAAGACGCTCTAAGCAAGGCAATCGTAAAAGTTGAGAAAATGTCACATACCGAGTTCGCAAACCTTCCTCGTGAAATTTTTATTGCCCTTGGCAAACCGTACATGATTACCACCAACATTAACCTCATAGGCGGTCTCGTAAACAGGGTCATTGTCATTCTCAAGGTGTGTGAGAAAGTGATAAACGACGGCGAATTCCCAAAAGATCTGTGGTTACAATTTGACGGTAAGCTTGGTCGTTTTCGGTCCAAGCGAATGGTGAATAAGGCCAAGCGAAGTGGTCACGTCATCGACACCTCCTGGGTCCTCATCGAAGCTTGAGTTACTACCCTAACCTTGGATCACAAGACTGACATTGCCCACAAGAGAATGCAGTTCCCTCTGGTTCAGGCCAGTGCCGTTACAGTCCACAAGTCACAAAAGGGAGCGCGCTCATCAGTTGTCTATGAATATAATAAAACGCACTCCCAGAAGTTGGTGCACATCGCGCTCAGCTGCTGCACCTACGTAAATAACCTCTATCTCACCAATGCTAAAGGTGACCACCGATTCTACCATAGAGAGAAGAACAAGGACACGGTAATGTTGAACAAGTTTCGACGTCTAGGCGAACATCGATTACTGACTTTGACGCAGCGGTATCTACGATCTCTTCGAGAAGACGTTGACTTTTCCAACGAGTTTACCATTGCCCTCCTCAATGTTCGTTCTCTCAAGGGACATGTGAACGATGCGGAACAAGACTCCATACGAACCGCAGTCGACGTGCTGTGCTTTACCGAGACGTGGAACGCCAAACGACCGTTCATGAAAGGATACGCTCTAGTCGCGTGTATCGATGAATCGGAATGTCTAGCAGGTGGTGTCACCATCCACATGAGGCAAATGCAAATGGCTGAAGATCTCAAACTACCACTCACGAGTCAAAGCCACTGTGGAGATTAAGCAGCCATCAAACTCTTTGTCTCCAGAATTGTCGTCATGATGACCATGTACTTTGCACCCAACCTGTCCACCGAGAACATCAAGACATTCATGTCGAAAGTATGAGAAGTACAAGAATGAACCATTTGTAGTAGTCGGGGACTTTAACCTGAACATGATTGACAATAATTGGCTTATCCGCCACATGGCTTCTAGATATATACCCTCAGATGTATATCGTTAAACTATATCAAACCTACCACGATCCAAAAAACATGAATAGGC